TTTTTTGTAGAGACGGGATGTCACCATGTTTCCCAGGCTGATCTCGAACTCCGGAAGTCAAACGATCCACCCACCTTGTCCTCCCAAAGTCCTAGGATTACAGGCATGAGCCACCGCACCCGGACTTCATATTTCAAATAAGGAAAAAGCAAGGCTCCCAGAGATTTTACTGAAGGTCACATAGCTGATATAGAGAGTAAAACCAAACATTGAACCCAGATTACCTGCTGGCTTAATCACTCCACGGGGCTTAGCTACTACATACGCTACACTGCTCCCAGGCTGTTAGCGGTACAGGGTGGTGACTGAAAGTTGTCTAGGTTCTTGGCGTCTTGAACAAAGAATTGGACAAAATGCCCATCAAAGCAAAGAGAGAATGAAGCAACAAAATAACAAAAGCAGGGATTTTTTGAAAACAAAAGTACCACCAGGCACGGTGGCTCACGCCTGTAATCCCATCACTTTGAGAGGCCGAGATGGGGGGATCACTTGAGGTCAGCAGTTCCAGACCACCTTCACCAACATGGTGAAACCCTGTCTCTACTAAAAATACAAAAATTGCCGGGTGTCGTGGTGGGCACCTATAATCCCAGCTGCTTGGAAGGCTGAGGCATGAGAATCACTTGAACCCAGGAGGCAGAAGTTGCAGTAAGCCTTGATCGTGCCACGGCACTCCAGCCTGGGCGACAGAGCGAGAACTTGTCTCAAAACAAACAACAACAAAAAATCAAAAACGAAAGTACACTCCACAGTGTGGGAGGGGACCTGAGATACAGAATTTTCTTGGGTTCAAATACCCACTGGAAGTTTCCCATTGGCAACTTTATGCTTACTTCATGTAACTGAAGTGGTAGCCACAATCAGTCTGATTGGTTGCAGACAGCAACCATTTTTTTTGTATATTTAATAGAGACGGGGTTTCAACATGTTGGCCTGGATGGTCTCGATCTCTTGACCTCATGATCTGCCTGCCTAGGCCTCCCAAAGTGATGGGATTACAGGCGTGAGCCACTGTGCCCAGCCGGGTTTTCCTTTTAATTTAGTTCTAGGAAGTCGGCGTGAAACAGCCTTGGGTTCTCTGCCTTCAGACCCTATTCTTCTGCCTCAAGGTGACTGGCCTAGCTTCATGAAAGCTATAACCTGGACTAGAATGTCAGCTAATAACAGCCACTGCAATGCCTTTCCAGTGGATGCTACCCTAAGCAGGTTTCCATGTCTCAAGCCTCTGTTTTCTCAAAATGGGAGAAACATAAAAATATTCTAAAATTGATTGGTGATAGTTGCACAACCCCGTGACTATACTAAAAGCCATTGAATCAAATGCTTTGAATGCTTAGATTGTATGGTATGTGAATTATATCTCCATAAATCTTTTAGAGATCTTTTTTTTTTTGAGACAGGTTGTCACTCTGCCACCCAGGCTGGAGTACAGTGGCACAGTCACAGCTCATGGCAGCCTTGACCTTCCTGCTCAAGCGATCCTCCCATCTCAGCCTCCCAAGTAGTTGGAACTACAGGTGACTGCCACCATGCCTAGCAAATTTTTGTATATTTTATAGAGACTAGGGTCTCACCATGTTGCCCAGGCTAGTCTCAAACTCCTGGGCTCAAGAGATCTGCCAGCCTCAGCCTCCCAGAGTGCTGGGATTACAGGCGTGTGCCACCATACCTGGCTGGAAAGAAATCTTGGGAGATATTTTTCCTCTTCAGTGTTGTCTTGACATACATTGAATATCAGTGGCATGCGTCATTGTATATGAGTAAATGAGCAGGTTAAGAAAAATTTTTGGCTGGGTGTGGTGGCTCACGCCTGTAATCCACCACTTTGGGAAGCTGAGGCAGGTGGATCACGAGGTCAGGAGTTCAAGACCATCCTGGCCAAGATGGTGAAACCCCATCTTTACTAAAAATACAAAAATTAGCCGGGTGTGGTGGCAGGTGCCTGTAATCCCAGCTACTCGGGAGTCTGAGGCAGGAGAATCACTTGAACCCAGGAAACAGAGGTTGCAGTGAGCCGAGATTGCACCACTGCACTCCAGCCTGGGCGACAGCAAGACTCTATCTCAAAAAAAAAAGAGAGAAAAATTTTCAAGGTCATTATGATAGGCAGAATAATGACCCCCTTTCCCAAAAATGTCCATGTTCAAATCCCCAGAATTTGTGAATATTATCTTATGTTGGCAAAAGGGACTTTGCAGGTATGATTAAGTTTTTTTTTTTTTTTTCTTTTTTTTGAGATGGAGTTTCGCTCTTGTTGCCCAGGCTGGACTGCAGTGGCACGATCTCGCAACCTCCACCTCCCGGGTTCAAGCGAATCTCCTGCCTCAACCTCCCTAGTAGCTGGGATTATAGTCATGTGCCACCACACCCGCCTAATTTTGTATTTTTAGTAGAGACGGGGTTTCTCCATGTTTGGTTAGGCTGGTCTTGAACTCCCTATCTCAGGTGATCCTCTCGCCTCGGCCTCCCAAAGTGCTGGGATTATAGGCATGAGCCACCACGCCCAGTCATGATTAAGTTTTTTGAGATGAAGACGTTATTCTGGATTATGTGAGTGGCCCAACGTAATCACAGGGGAAAGAAGGAAACAGGAATCAGAGAAGATATGACAAAGGAAGTAGAGTTGAGAGAGGGAGACATGAAGATGTTACTGCTGGCTTTGAGGATGGAGGCAAGGGCCACAGACTAAAACAAGGAAGGCAGGAGGCCTCTAGAAGCTGGAAAGGGCAGGGAAATGGATTCTCTTCTGGAGTCTCCAGAAGGAAAACAGCTTTTGATTTTAGCACAGTAGGACACGTTTCAGACTCTTGGTTTCCAGAATGACAAGATAATAAATTTGTGTTGTTTGAAATCACTAAATGTATGATAATTTATTATAGCAGCCACAGCAATAAGAAACAAATACAGTCACATAGAGAGAAAATGAAAGAGCTGGGATTATGAACCCAGGTCTGTTTCTAAAGCCTGTGCTCTCTCTTTCCACTGCCCTCTGCTTACAATAGGCCTAGCGCACTTACACACAGGGGAAGCCAAATCTCTTACCCTGTTTCTGTGTGCAATACCCCAGACTGCTTCAAGGAAAGGCAACAGAATGTCCCGACAGATTTTCTCTTAATATGTTTTTTTTGCTTTGGCTTTCAAAGATTTTTTAAAAATTGTGGAACAATATACATGATATTTATCATTTTAATTATTTTAAGTGTATAATTCATGACATTAAGTACCTTCCAAATGTATAACCATCACCACAATTTATTAATTAATTTATTTAATTTATTTATTTTGAGACAGAGTCTTGCTCTGCTGTCCAGGCTGGAGTGCAATGGCACAATCTTGGCTCACTGCAACCTCTGCCTCCCGGGTTCAAGCGATTTTCCTGCCTCAGCTTCCTGAGCAGCTGGGACTACAGGCACCTGCCACCATGCCCGGCTAATTTTTGTATTTTTAGTAGAGACGGGGTTTCACTATACTGGCCAGGCTGGTCTCGAACTCCTGACCTCAGGCGATCCACCTGCCTCGGCCTCCAAAAGTGCTGGGATTATAGGCATGAGCCACTGCATCTGGCCACAATTTATTTATTTTTTTCACTTCCCCCCACAATTTATTTTTGAGCGTTTTCATTATTTCACATGGAAACTTCATCCAGTCCAGGTGTGGTGGCTCACACCTATAATCCCAGTATTTGGGGAGGCCAAGGTGGGTGGACTACTTGAGGTCAGGAGTTCAAGGCCAGCCTGACCAACAAAGTGAAACCCCATCTCTACTAAAAATACAAAAATCAGCCGGGCATGGTAGCAGGCGCCTATAATCCCAACTACTCGGGAGGCTGAGACAGGAGAATCGCTTGAACCCGGGAGATGGAGGTTGCAGTGAGCTGAGATCACGCCACTGCACTCCAGCCTAGGCAACAGAGCGAGACTCCATCTCAAAGAAAAGAAAAATGAAACTTCATCCATTAGGCAGTAATTCATCATTCCTACCTCCTCTCACACCTTAGTTCTCTCATTTTATCATGAAAATATCCAGGCCAGTCACGGTGGCTCAGGCCTGTAATCCCAGCACTTTGGGAGGCTAAGGCGGGCAGATTGTGAGGTCAAGAGATCGAGACCATCCTGGCCAACATGGTGAAACCCTGTCTCTACTAAAAATACAAAAATTAACTGGGTGTGGTGGTGCACGCCTGTAGTCCCAGCTACTCGAGAGGTTGAGACAGGAGAATCTCTTGAACCCAGGAAGTGGAGGTTGCAGTGAGTTGAGATCACACCACTGCCCTCAAGCCTGGTGACAGAGCGAGACTCTGTCTCAAAAAAAAAAAAAAAATCCAAGCATATACAGAAAGATCGAACGAATTGTACAGTGAACACTGATATATTCATCACCAATCTACAATATTTTGCGGTATTTGATCACATCCATACATCTATCCATCTCTTTGTTATATACTTCAAAGTTATAGAGATGATTACATTTCACTTCTAACACTTTAGCATACATAGCATTAACCAGAATTTACGTTTACCTTTTTAAAAAAATTTTTTGTTTGTGCCCTGTGCGGTGGCTCACACCTGTAATCCCAGCACTTTGGGAGTCTGAGGCGGACAGATCACGAGGTCAGGAGTTCAAGACCAGCCTGGCCAATATGGTGAAATCCTGTCTGTACTATAAATACAAAAATTAGCTAGGCGTGGTGGCATGCGTCTGTAATCCCAGGTAGTCGGGAGGCTGAGGCAGAAGAATCGCTTGAATCCAGGAGGCGGAGGATGCAGTGAGCCGAGATCTCGCCACCACACTCCAGCTTGGGTGACAGAACCAAATCACACTTCATCTCAAAAAAAAAAATTTTTTTGTTTGTTTGTTTGAGACAGTTTTGCTCTTGTTTT